TATATATATACACACACACACCGTCCGGATGCAAAAGAAAAAAAATGGACCAAACATGTAATTTTTGCTGAACCTCATAAACAGTTTCAATAATTTTCTCTAATAAAAAAGATAAGAGATAAAGACTAATTAGAGGACATATTTGAATTTTTAATCATCAAGGGCTTGCTATAAAGTCCATTCCAACATTTCAAGCATCTGCACCGGAGACAAAAAAAGACAAAAAAAAAAAAAAAAAAAAATTCTAACGCCAGTTTTAAGTATGCAAATCTATTACGATTTTGTTAAAATTTGTCAAAAACCACCCTTTATTAGAATTAACTAAAGATCCAGGAAAAGACAGCTATGAAAAAAACCAAGATATTGCCAAACATACCAACTCAATATCATAAAAGATCCAGGAAGCAACACACAAAAACATGGCAAGCTTTAACATGCATAATAGAACCTCCTCTTGTCATGATTATTAGCCCATAGATCAAAGCCTTTTGGCACTTACGAATATTCTGTTTCACTATCCAAACTAAATTAATCGTATAGTTACATATACGAAACTGGAGTATTATGGGATTAATACAAATTGTAGAATTTCATAGAAAACTAAACATGCTCTTCATAATATTGGAAAAAGATGGCCATAACTGGTATAAATACAAACCCATTACACTGGCACCATAATAGTAGATGGCCATTAATAATAGGATATTTAGTAGATTACCATAACATAACTAGCAGTATCAATACAAACCCATTACAATACCATAAGTCCATAACTACTACCAATTCATAGGAGGAGAGTTCACTGTTCAAAACACAACAGACTTACCAAAACATCAAACCAGGACTACAAACAAAAGATCAAACCAGCAACCCCTACACCTACATGACCTACAACAACACCTGTGGAAAGGTCAACAACAAAGGGAATTTGGTCAACAACACTATAACCACAGCAATGAGAATTGCTCCAAAAACAACCATCTTCAACAGGAAAATCCTCTTCTCCTTCAACATAGCAGCTTTATGATTGTCTTTCAAGTTCCAAATTTTGTTAACAACATATCTCCCACTTGGGTTATACTCCTTCATCTCCTTCAACGCTGCAACCACTTCATCAAATATCCCATTTCCCCTTTCTGCCTTCAAAGTCTTCACTTTCTGCATCATATCATAATAATAATAATACACTTGCTTGAATAACATGATTTTAAAGATATTAAAGTTATTCAGAAACAGAATTTCAACAATCAAACCTCATCATCACCATCTACTTCAACAATATGCCATTCTGGGTGATTTTTAACCTTATTCTGACACAAAGAACGTGGTTCAGAGGCCTTTATCTGAGCCTCTTCATTCTCAAACTTCTCTTTGCGTTTAAGGCTCTTCATATTCTTCAAAATGTAGTTGATAACCTCCTTCAATGTAGCTTTCCTATTGTCTTTAAAGTTCCAAAGCTCATTCACAACATATCTCCCACTTGGATTATACTCATTCATCTCCTTGAACGCCCCAACCACCGCATCAAATACCCCATCCCCCCATTCTGCCTTGAGATTCTTCAGCAACTCATCCTCTTCATTTATCACTTCCTGCATCATCACCATCACATCATCATAAATTTAAGACTATAAACATATCATCATCAAACTTAAAGCATACCTTGAGATTATCACCATCTACTGCAACAACTTTCATGGGATGCCACTCTGGATTTTTTAGCTTCTCCTGCCACAGAGAGCATAACTCAGAGGCCTTTATCTGAGCTTCTTCATCACCAAACCTCTCTTTGCAGGCATCATGGAACGCCTTCATATCAATTTCTCCCATCCTTTTCACACCAATATTTGTTCGCCCACTTAGCATACCCTTCAAGTACCCCTGAAAACCCCAAAAACCAATAACGATTAATTCATAAAATTATTCAAAACATTAATGGAATTTAGTCATGGGTTTTGTAATTTAGAATTAATACTTTAATCAACTCTTTGCGAACTTCTTTCAGTTCATCTTCATCATTACTCTGGCGTTCCTTAACCAAAAGTGTTTGATTCAAATTCTCCATGTTCTCCATTTCTTCCATATTTATTTCAAGTTCATTGTTCATCTCCGTGATTTTCTCCTGAACAGCAGCATCATCTTCATCTCCTAAATGCTTCATCATTGGCATTTTCCTTTTCAGTTCTTTAATTCTCATTTCCAGTTTCTGTTCAACATCTAGTTGCCTCCCGAATCCAAGCACTTTCATCAAAACCCACCCTTTCTCTCTCTGCAATTCAAGTCAACAAAAGTTGTAATAAAGACATTTTA